ATGTATTCTAGTGCTGTCCTCTGTCCTCAGTCAATTTATGTTAAGATGTAATGGGTTCGCCTCCTTCTTCTCATAATTTCTACTGATTTTTTCAACATTTCTTCTAAATAAATAAAGTTTATATCAAACTTTTGTTTTCTGTTCCAGTAATCTTTCGAATAGTGTAGGACTGGAAAACCAATTATCGACGAAGAGAGTATGATTTTTCTTCAGATAATTTTTCATCAGTGTTATACTACTGAACTCGGTATCCCAACCTCAGGGCGATTGTCGATTTCTGTTTCTGCTCCGGTATAAACGATGAAGTTCAGAACGAATTTTGTATCACAGTCACATAACATGAAGAGCTTCACACCAAAACGGTGTCTCTTCGACGGAATGTATTGTTTGAAACTGAGTCGGCCTTTCCATAGTATCAGGCTCTCATCAATGCACAAGTTCTCCCATGTAACTACTGCTCTTGCGAATTTATTTCTCAAATATTCCACGATTGGTTGTATCTTTCGGAGCTTGCCTTCTTCTCTGTGTTATTGTCAGCAAAATGGATATATCGCAGAATAGAAAGATACCTGTCCTTATGATCTTTTGATTCAATCCCATCAAAGTTGTAGTGCCCAGATCGAGGGGAATCGTACTAAGATCGTATCTGAATCAGACAAAATCGTACCAAATCGTATGAAAATCATATATGAATCGTGGTATCTGATTTGTCCTCTGGATCGTATAATATGATCGTACAAGATCATATACGATCATACAACTTCGTATGAAATCGTACAGTACGAGCCAGACGACAAATCCGGTACCACGATTCGTATGTAGATCGTACATAAGCGTATATGATTTCGTACGATTCGTATACGATCTTGTACGATCGGATAGTACGATTCAATCACCTGGGTGGTGAAAAAGACGTACAATTCTTCCACAGTCGTATTGTACCAAGCTGCAGTTTTTCTGACATTTGAAGCAGCATTTTGTTGTTGATAATTGTTGGTTTCTTCAACAATTTTCTGCATGAGTTCGTTATCGAAAAATACTTGGAAATAGTCAGATGGTTTGTTTCCTCCGATTTCAAATTCTTCGCTGACTCCTGATACTCTATCGGAAAATTTCAATAGAGTTAATGAGTCCAACAACATAAGATCGGATCACTTGTGCTATTCACGTTTCTTTGTTTCAACGTCAACTGATCTGCAGTAAAAAAAAGTGTATATAAAATTCGACTTCTGAAGTTAGAATTCTGCTCTTCTACAAAATCCAATTCTGAATAAATGACATATATAGCTAATTGTAATGCTTATTTAGTGTATGTTGTTTATTGGTATGTGAACTTCTTTATTAGAAAATTCCTGAAGATAAATTGATGGTGTTGAATTTCTCTTAATCAGCGCTAGTTAACAATAAAATAACAATAGACGTCGACTTATTTTGGATTTCTTTGTAATAGTGTGATTTGTATGAATCAATTCCAATAGATATAAATGAAACGTAGAATTTTCCCACTCATAGTGAAATATCATGAATTTTTTTGTAAATTTCATTATGAGTTTTCATCAAAATTAAAAAATTTGTAACTCTAGCGGAAAGCATTCGAAAAACCTAAGTCCGTCATATACGTAATTTGATGTGCTCACATATTAACATTAGTTTTGTGTTAGTGAATTTGTATAGTTATCTAGGATTCAGATATCGAGCTTTTTTGAATTTAAAAAGGATTTTTCGACTTTTTAGGCCCTTCAAGTAGTTTCACGTTTCCACCCTCAAAAATTTTTTTAAAAAATTAAAAAATACATTTTGTTAATCAGCTGGAAATGCTCTATAATAAGTTCAAAAATGAAATTTTTCTTTAATTTTGCATTGTGTGCACCTTACAAATAATAAACTGTAAATTTCTTAAGAAAAAAAAGCAACACATGGGAAAGTTTTTGCTCGAGAATTTCACTTTGTCGTATTTTATAATCTTCGTAAATATAGATTTCTTTGCTTTTTCATTAAGGCAGAATATTAAATCGATTTACAAAGGATATCGCCATAATGGACGAACTACTACCGTTAAATCTTTTCGACTTTTTACAGGTAAGATCACTAGAGCGTTCATTAATGCTTCTTAATATTGCTTTGATTGTGAGTGAATCATTTTTGTAATTTGAAATTATACTTTACTTACCACTTTAACTGATATATTTCTGTTTAGTGGTTGTTTCAAGTATTGGGAACGATTGTTCTTATCGGTTTTGTGAATATTTACTCATTCATTCCAGTTTTCTTTGCTCTTATTGGAATGTTTTATGTAAGATCCATATACGTGCCATGTTCACGGGACTTAAAACGGTTAGAAGGCATAAGTAAGCTAGAGAGAAAAAATTGTTTACCATCACTGATTTTTAATTTTTAGCTCGTAGTCCTGTTTATTCTCATTTGACATCAACAATTCAAGGCTTGAAAGTAATCCGAAGTTATAATGCTGGTAGGTTGATCACTTTGAAACAAAATAGATGATATAGTGCTATAACTATCATTCATCATTCATTCAGTCTACATGTACATGTGCTCCATTAATAATCTGTTTTAGAACAAATATGTATCAATGAATTTCTTGAACATGTCAACGTCAATACACGAGTCAATTATCTAATTATAACCGCAGCTCGATGGGCAGCCATACGTTTTGACTGGTTTACTCTCGCATTTATAATACTCGTGATTATATTAGGCATGCTTTTTAATAAACGTAAGTAAAAAATTATCAATGAAATTTTCTTCGAACTTTTTCTTCATTATTGTCATAGATAAACGTAATTATTATCAACATCGTTGATTAATTAGTTACATTCAGTTATCGAATTCACACTTTTAATATGTATTAGTTCAAAAATGTATATTGTTGTATATTTTAGAACTTGACGCTGCTGAAATAGCTCTGTCAGTTAGTTACTCTCTCAATATATTGGGATCAATCCAGTGGATGATTCGTCAAAGTGTAGAAGTTGAGTCTCAAATGACAGCTGTTGAAAGAGTATTAGAATATTGTCATCTTGAACAAGAGTCACCATCGCATACCAACTATCGACCAAATGCAAATTGGCCATCATGTGGTGAAATTAATTTTAAAAATGTATCTTTTCGTTATTCAAATGATAGTCCATTTGTATTGAAGAATTTAACATTGACAATATATTCTGGTGAAAAAATTGGCATTGTTGGAAGAACAGGTAACGGGTGGTGCAAAAGTTTTGCATTAATTTTGATTTTGATATAGCATTGCAATGGAATATCGTAGAGATTTTATCCTTTTTTTGTTAGAAAGAGCAAAGTGTCTAATACAAAAATATATAAAAGCGTTTGATCGGAAATGTTTTTCGAAGGCCAGAAAAATGTTCGTTGAACAAACGGCATCGGAAAACTTTTTCGCAACTTCGGTCACAATTTTTGTATCCAAATATATTTGTTTGACCGTTTTCATTACTCACTTTTGATGTTTTCGAACACCACATATATGAAGTTGTTCATTACAACGAAGGCTTTCGTATGATATTAAAAAAATTGGCCTTGAGAACAAGAGACTGAACAGAAGACCCTTTGATTAAAAACTCAATTTGGTGTTTACAACGCGGAAGCAACTTTTTGTCCCAATGTCTCACAGAGCAGCAGTGTTCTATTCCAAATAATTTCGTTTGGTAGAGGACTCAATAAGCTTTCTTTTCCATGTAAAATATATAGTTTCTAGCAACTTCCCTCTAAGAGTAGAATTTTTTTTCGACTGCGATCGACAGTGATGAAAACTCGGTGGTAAAATAGGACGTTATAAAAGCACTCATTTCGACCGTTCTAAAACAGAAAGAAAAAAATTTTTTTTCCCGCAACAGCACCCTGTCCTAACATTATAAAGTTCGGAGTAAAACGAATAAAAAAAGATAAACTTTCTTATTGGGCGACAGTTTTTCTAAATTCGAAAAGGTTGCGGAACAGTTTCCCGATGCCTTTTGTTCGAACATTTTTCTGACCTTTGGAAAACATTTATCTTCAGTAAAATAGACATTTTAGTTTATTTTAGGTGCTGGAAAAAGTTCATTTATTCAAACATTATTTCGAATGGCTGAACCAACTGGTCAAATTTATATTGATAACGTTGATATATTTCAGTTGGGATTATATGATTTACGACGACGAATCTCTATTATACCACAAGATCCTGTTTTATTTACGGGCACAGTGAGATATAATTTAGATCCATTCGGTGATTATTCAGATATAGAAATTTGGAAAGCATTAGAAGAAGTGTGTATAACATTTGTTTTTTATATATATAGATTTTTTGTTCATGTGATTTGTTTTTAAGGTTCAGTTAAAATCATTCGTCGAAAAAAATATGTCGAATAGTTTAAAATCTCTTGTTAGTGAAAGTGGTTCAAATTTAAGGTATGCATACTTAACACTATTAGATTAGTAATGATCTACTAAATGACCTCTAATGAGCACATGCCATGTATCGCCTTTCAGTGTAGGACAAAAACAGCTAATCTGTTTGGCACGTGCAATTTTAAAAAAGAGCAAAATATTGGTTATAGACGAAGCAACGGCTAATGTTGATAATGCGTATGTGTTCCACAGACATAATATTTATTTACAATGAATTATCACTTTCTCTTCATCTTATAGGACTGATGAATTCATTCAAAATAGCATTAGAGAAAAGTTTAAACATTGTACAGTGCTAACAATTGCTCATCGACTAAGAACAGTAGTCGATAATGATAGAATTATGGTATAAAGTTTCAAAGTCTTTTTTCTATGTTTCATTCAATACCATCCATTTAAAGGAGAAGAATAATTTTAATATATTTGTTATACAATACCTAACATTCATCCTACTTACTTTTCTAATGAATTGAGCGGAACTCTTTACAGTGAGAAAACTTTTTTTACTTTACATCCGATTTTGATAAAAATTTTCAGTACATGATATCAAATGATGATCGCAAACTAATTTACGGTTTTCTATCTATAACTGTCTTTGAAATGTGAGAAGACAAGTGGTAAAATACACTTTTCAGCTATTATAAAGAATATTTTTTCTAGATCACGAGATTTTGAAAAAAAATTCTGGAAAACATCTTAGAAGTCAGCCAAGTAGAGGAAGTGTCATGAAATCCGTATTATTAAAATCCTTTTTTTAATTCATCCGAAAACTATTCATCCAGAATCCAACATGTCCGGATGAATCATTTGCTGGACATGTTGGAATTCAGATGACTTATTTCTGGATGAATTTCCTCGATCAACTCCGGTAGCTTCTTAAAAAACCCCTCAAGTCCGAGAAAAAAATTCTAGATGAGTTTGTCACTTATAATAAAAAGCAATGCAAGTCCGCATGTCATAGAGTATAATAGTAATACTAGTAGTTTCATTATTAAAGTACATTTGGAGTTGGTTTCATTCATAAGGCATGTCCGCACACACTAGAGTATCATTCTGTAATGTCGATCGACTCCTATAGCTACTTAAAACTGGAATTTAGTGCAACTTCGATTGCATTACAATAAAATTTAACGGTGTTGGGTTTGTAAGTGTGTTTAGCGTTATTACTAAATATTATCAGAAATTTGAGTCATTTTTCCTATTGTAGACTTACCCCATTAAGTCATACTAGACTTACTTGATGCACGATCTAAGACTAATATACAACTGATTAACGATCGGACTTGCATTACTTTTTATAACAAGTGAAAAACTCATATAGCATATTTTTTACCGGATTTGGTCGGAGAAAATTCATTTGGAAATTTTATGGACTTTAAATCCGGATGAAATTACATCCGGGTGGAGCTGCACAAGCGAGTAGAATTTTCGGATAAAAAGTCTTCCCGGACTTAAAAATATCCGGATTTTAAAAATCTGGATTTCATGACACTCCCCGAGCCAAGTAGACACTCCGTTCTGAAAGACCACACATGGATCCTCTCAAATATGTCTTTATTTTTAGCTGATTTCGCTATGTCTCGATTAATGAAACTTAATTTGACATCATTTTTTAAAGGATTTTTACTTATTTATAGGTAATGAACGCGGGTGAACTAGTTGAATTTGATTCACCATATAGTTTACTGGAAAATCCAACGTCTTATCTAACTGATCTTGTAAGACAAACCGGTGCTGCTGAATTCGATCATCTACGAGGATTAGCCAAATTAGCCTATTTGAGGACATCAGTTGATCAGCAAACAAAACAGTATGTTGATAATAAAAATATACAATCTGAACATTTTGATAATTCCAATGGAGAAGAAACCGAGCAATTGTTGAAAAGTGACCATCTAGTCGTATGATTTTTGTTTTTACCATTTCTTTTTAAACTGTTTTGTACAATAGACCTATGATAATTTATTTTCTACTGTTTTATTTTGTACATAGGAAAGTTTGAAAATAAGTACGAGTTTCAAACAAATGTTTTGTAGAATAGACATTTGAATGCTGTGTATGTAGAATTAGGAATTTATCACACTTCTCTAACATTATTGTTAGTTTTATCGTATTTGTAAATCGTATTGACGTTCGCATGTTTATCGAATTTATAACTTCGATAAGATAAGTTATCGAAGTTGTCTTATTTGAATGACATCATCAAAATTGATAGTTAAAGTTCATTTTTCAGCTAAAAGGTGTATTACTCATGTATAGATTATATCTTTAAAGCTATTTATAAAATTGAGGCATAAAGTTTAAAACTGAAACTGGCTAATAATGGGTTTACAAGCGGATCATTTTCAGTACTAGTATAATGTGTATTCGTATTTATTTATAATCTCAAATATATAATTCTTCTTCACTCAAAATCACGTTAAAGACTTGAACAAAATATTTGCTTCACCTTCGTCATGTTCTTTGATACTAAGAATACGTAAATCTGTTAAAAAGAAAACCAAAATACCCTCATCAATTACATCAATCATGTACTCTATGTTGATTGTCAGTATTTTTATTACAAATGATGGCACATCAATACTTGTGCACCAATACTTTTTCAGAATAACTTGTACATTTTATATAGACAAACATATGTCTGCCGAAAACATCTTGTTAACAAATGTTTGAAAAGTATTTGTACAATGCACATTGAACTTGTTTACCTTTTTTTCATCGATGCAAAGCTCTTTTGAACAGAAAATTGAAAGATTCAAGCAGTAAAATCAAGCAAAACTGAATTATATCAATTGTTAAAACCTAATTTGAAGCAAAAATTGAAAAACTAAATATTGAAATATTGTTCTTTTTATCGTTTGCAATTAATATCAGTCAATGAACCATTATTTAATGAAGTGAAATAAAAGTTATGAATCTAACCGATGCATTTGTCTTGCTTCCCATAGCTCTTTACGGTACTATTGCGAATCAGTGACGTAGCCATGATTTTTCTAGACTGGAAAGGAGCAATCATTTATTAAACTTATAACAACCTAATCATATAAAAAAGATACACAATCACGTTCTCGAACAAGTTACTCAATTACAGTCTTTTTATCACAAAAAGTAATAAAAATAAAAAATAAAAATGTAATGGAATAAATTAAGTAAATGAAGGATTTCTTACATAAACACTATATATAAAAATAATTGACTCTTTCTATCATCATCTGGTGGTTTATGATTTTTCAAGCTTGAAAAAATTTTGTATCAAAAATAGTATGAAATATTTTTTCTAAGGAACGGGAGAGGGGAGTGGGCATAGTCCATTCTAGATCCTATGATGGGTGCCTTGCTGTTGCGACTATAAAACCAAAATTTCAGCAGAAAGAAGAACATCACGCTACATCAACAATGTCTAGTATTAAATAACTTTTGGATGATCCCTCAGTATTACATTCCAATATTCAAATGGAGCAATAGTTTATATCACACTTGGACAATTATTCGTTCTACAAATCGTAAAAAAAGCACCTACCAATAATGTTTATATTTATTTGATGTGATTCACGAAAAACAGAAAAAAAGAGCCATAAAAACGAACGCATGGGAGACACGGGACACATATGTATTCGACGGTGCTGATTCAGAATAGGTTACCCACGGCTGTTGCTAAGCCTTTTGAGGATGGTTTCTAGAAAACTGTATCATCAAGAATACAGTTTTTCCGCTCAAACTAGACTCTTGGCACTGATATGAGTAAAAAAATATGAGTAAACATGAGTAAACGAGAAAGATAAAGGTGAAGTGCTTAGGAGAAAATGACTTGACTGATTTACTATAACTATTTAAATTCATCATAATGTGTTAATTGAATTTCTACTCTTTTACGGACTTTTCCCGTAAGACTCCTGTTTCTATGATTGTCACATTCAACAAGATTATTTTTCTTTTCTTTTTTAACATCAATTAATTTTATTTGTTCCCAAAGGGTTAACAAAATAAGCTATGCATTAATTTTGCACATCAAGTGATAACAAAAATAAATAAATAAATAAATAAAAGTTCAAACTCTAGCTATTCGTAAAAAAGTTACATACACTTTATAAAAATTTACACCTTTATATATGAGTAACAGCGGTAAAAAGATTGAAGATTGAAGAGCCTAATTTACCGAGACAAAGATAAACTAGAAGCAAAATTCAATTAATTTTTCTATGCGGTTTAATTTTTAAGATTACACAAACTAAAGCAGTTTAAGAAAGTAACGCCGATATAAATTGCTTTAGGACAGAAAAACAGGAAACAATAGAGAGATAGTAAAACGTAAAACAAAGAGTAGATAGCAATTATCTCAAAGCACACGGATATTTCTTTATTTTTAATTACATATTTCTTTTTGTTGGTATAAACTATTTATTAAATAAAGTATTTCACCATATCTGCACTAAATCGGAGAAACCATTATATAGATATAGATACGATTTTCATATAGTTAAAAAAAGAAAATCCATCAAAGTGAATAATAAGAAAAGGAAACAAACAAAAGACTAAAAAAATAATAAAATAAATGTTAAAATGTTGGTGGCAGATGTTTTCAGAAATAATTCTATGATTTTATGTTGAAACGTTTTGATATAGTTTAACACGCAACGATATACAAATTCGAAATGTTCCCTACATAGTATCTCGGTGAGTTAATGGAATAATTATAACGTTATTAGACCGTAGATTATATTGAGGATTATTAGAAAAATGAATTTTTTTGGACAGGAATATTGGCACATAATCACATTGCTCGCATAGTGGGTCAAGAACAAACTTTGCGTACTATGCTACTGTTATCCGTTATAAATAAATCAAGACATGTTTGTAAAATAGGTCTAATTGTCCCCTTCACTAATTGAGGTAATCCAAGTTGCTTCAAGTACGCACGAAGTTTGTTTCCCTCAGTAGTAGATGGTTTGGTGGGACACCACTCATAAGAATGAACGTTAAAGTCACCAACAATAAATATGCTTTGAAACGTTCTGACAGTGCACAATTTAAGTATAATAGAACCACGTAAAAAAAAATATAAAATGAGGTAGACAGAATGTGTAGAAAAGTTTTCGTCTTATTTCTATTTCATTTTTACGTACGTTATGAAAAAATTTTCTTACTACGCAATATGAGCTTCTAGCCATTTTCAAACGACAGTCAATGTGTTTACTCCATCCTAATTTAGTTCCTAACTCTACGCCTAAACCTTTGAAAGATGTTACATATTCAATAGAAGAGTTTTATATTCAATTTTTGGTCTAACAGTATCGACTGCATTATGAACGAATATTGCTTTTGTTTTATCTACGTTTACTGGCGGCGAAATTTTCTAGACTACCATTTCTATAGACTACCAATTCTAAACTACCATAGCTTGAACTTCTAAGTATTTTATATTTCTGATAATCTTTTTCTAATGCGCCCTTTAAAATTATTGTTAAATTATCTGCATATAAATGAAAAAGCGTTCGCCAAGAGCAAAATATGACGGTAAAAAATGTATATGCAGTCTAAATAAAAGAGCAGCTAATACGCTTCCTTGGGGTACACCTACAAAAATTTGAAATAGTCATGATTCAGCGTCACCGTGCCTTACACTTATCGATCTATTTTGAAGCCAATCATAAATCCAACGCGTAAGCTCTAACGGCATATCTAATTCTTCTAACGTTTTCAAAAGCGCCGGGTACCACATTTTATCGAATGCAGTTTTGAAATCCACAAAAATTGCAAGAGCTGATCTGTTGCATGCAGCTATCGTTAACGTTAAATCTTCTAGAATTCTGCTCTGTAATCTACGCCGCGCCGTAAATCCTGATTGTTCGTCTAGATATATACACCCTTGTTCTTACACCATTTTTTCAATCCTCTCAACAATAATTCTTTCAAAGCACTTTCCTAAGATTATTTTAAATAGCCTCGACTATCATATTTGAAATCATATCGAAAGATGTTGTTCATTAGAGCTTTAAATAATATCTTTAGACATTTTTAAAATTCTTTTTCTTTTTACTTGAATATTAGGCCGATATAAACACCGATTGAAGTGCTCATTTCTAATGTTTGTATTGTCACTATCATCTTTTCTTTGTTTAGTTACCTGATTCTTTCTCCATTTAAATTATTATTGTTTGTCCAGGAAGGCAATGGGTGAGGACATTTATTTCAATACTTTTTGGCTATTTTTTCCAGAAATTTAAAAATCTAACCCAAGGATAAGGTTGTTACTCGGCGAAAAGATGATGATGGTAGCGATACAAACATGTTTTTGTACAAACACTTAAAAACTAGTGGTTATATCATTTCAATATTCAAGTGAAAAGAAGAGTGATTGATTTTAGGGTGGATAATAATTTGATTACTTATCAAAATGATATTTTGAGATGAATCTACTATCAATGTACTAAGAATTTTGTTAATACGACTAAGAATAAAATATACACTATTATATCAGAAGATGCCTTATAGCCATATAAAGTATGTTGAGTGTTAAACATTTTACCGGTCTCGTCAAACATCATTGAATGTTACGAGTGAACGTATTTTCCTTTTTTTCAATCATCTTTTCAAGTATGACATTTTTATTTTTCCTCTACTCACCTCTTACTCCATTTCACAACTAAAGTGGTCTTTATGGAATTGTATTTAATCACTTTCAATCATTGAATATTATGCATATTAAAAAACGATAGCTAGATATTATTATCGTATTATGATCGTTGAAGAAAAATCATGTTGACTTTTATTTTAAACGTAGAATATCTTATTAATTTAGGTCTACAACGTGTTGACGTGTATGGCAATAGTCTAGATTGTGACTTTAGAATAATCATAATTTTCTTTTTTATTGACCCGTTAACGACAAAAAAAAAAAATTCCTAAC